TGATTTTTTTTCTAAAGCAACGATTTTCTATGTCTTTTTTTTTCTTTTCACATGTTGCCTATCCAACATGCAAAGTAATTTTCATTTTAAGATTAAAAATACTTTTATGCATCAGAAAATTTTCGAATTTCACAAACAAAATCCTTATGTCCAAATTGTTATAAAATCGTTTCTTAAGAAAAAAACTATATTTTATCTGTTATTTTCACTAACAAATATCTGTATGGATTTGGTCAATTTGACCGATCTTGTAACCATCATAAAAAAAAAAAGGAAATAAATATAAATTTGCCTTTTTCGTTCTATACTAGACTACAGATTATAACACAAAAACATAAATGTTGAGACTAAATAGCTTAAATCTCATAACATTATATATTTATTATTTTTATTATATTGACCTTTCAGCCATGATTGGCTAACAGTACAGAAGTTACACTGATGAGATGCACATGCACTCATATTACTGTATCCAATAGTATAAAACTGACCTTTAGTTCTCTACAAAGTGACCTGTCTTGGTTGTGTTTTGGTAGACTAGTATTTTGTAAAATACAGTCACATTTAAATTATTATGCATTATATATGTATATACATTATTGCTATTTTGAAATAAGTTCTTAAAGTTATTTTTCTTAAAACATAGAACAGTAAATGAAGTAAAGTGAACAATTATTTGTTCTTGTTCAGACTTTTGTACTCGGTTGCTGCTTTTTGTAGCATGCTAAGCCTTAAGAAATTTCACAAGTGAAGGATGTGAAACAAAATACTTTTTTTTTAGGTTTATATATACATTTGAATAACTGGAAAATCATAAATTATTATATTGATACCATAGAATTCTACTATAATTTATCAAGGTTAGTAACTAAGCTGTATTTTAGTCTAAAAAATATGAAATTTCAAGCATACTAAAACACAACCTACCCCTTTGAAATTTTGGTTCGAAAGAACGAGATTGCATCCTAGCACAGAAAAAATGGCTGAGAAAGTCACTAGGGGAACATTGAGTTTTCAATTGGTTATTCACTTGTCATGTATAAATAATGGACTGTTTCTAAAAATGGAAAGAGGTGAGTGGGGCTACTGCGTTTCATTCAGTACATGAGTGATATCTCAGCAAATAGAAAAGATAGGAGGTTCTTATTTTATATTCTAGTTTGTCAATATCAGTAATTTGAGTTCCTAATTTGTACAAAACTATAAAATTTGTATTTTGACATCACAAACATCTAATTTGAACCAGTCCTGCATTCAACATACCATGTGACATGCAAAAATCGATGTTTAGGTGTTTTTTTTAAATATTTACTTTTAAATTTCAAATAAGAAATTAAGTAATATATAATACTAAAATTTGATTTATAATCTACAGTTTGATACCGAACTTAATGACATAAATTCTTAAAATAGTAGTTCAATAAAATTTTGAATGCAAATCATCAAATGCGATGATATGGCAGAATTGAGGAAAAACAAGACAATTGTACATTTCACAAATACATCATTTATTCACAACTATGGTTTTGCAAGTAAAGGCATCATCAAGTATCAATTATATGGTATGGCTCTGATAATGCTATTAAATTTACTTCATTCTTATTATAGCTGAATCTGGCTTCTCAGTCAGTATTAGAAGGATTGAATGGGTGCTTAGATCATCGTGGTGAGATCTACATACCTGAACTTGGAAAAGCCTTTTATATTGAGCGTGAAACAACCAGAATATTTGGCTGTCAGAACCCTCACAGGCAAGGAGGAGCTCGAAAGGGTTTGCCTCGATCTTTTCTAAACAGATTCACACAGGTAAAAACCTATTGAACCAATTTTGTCTTTAAGTCCATATCATTATTTACTTGTTGTGCTATTATTAAACATAATCCATTTTAAATTCACCTAACATGTTATCTAATATTTTGGACAATTTTTACACTTTTAGACACTATCATCAGTATTGTTGTATGTATTTATGTACTTTTGGAAATCATCAACACTAGAGTTAGGAAATTTAATCAATTAGCTATGAGTTGTTATTACATCAGTAAGTCATATAAACTATTCAATTAATCAAAGCTATGATTAAAACATTTGTCATAAAAATAATCAACTAATTGAAATTATAGTTTCTGATTATTACTATTTTTGATTATGCTAACAATCCAAGTAAAAAAAAATGTTGTCATTATGTTTTGGCTTTCTGTGCTCTGTCCAGTGGGTGTATCAAAATTCAATTTTAGCTTTCTAAGTTTTTTTTACTTTAAGTTAGGTGAACTTTAGGCCAGCATGACCTGGTAATTTGGGGGAGGAGGGATGATTGTGATTTAAGGATCTTGAATTTGATTGCCACTACCACTAAACTTTCTCATCCTGTCTTTCATGTGCCAAAGCTGTTTAGGCTATCTGCCACTGTCACTAATTTTGAATTGCTGACTAGCGAGAAGGCAAATGGCTGCAGTACCTACTGCAAACCCTTCGGTTACTTGTTAAAGAAATTAATTAACTGTATTATTTAAAGTTGTATATAGCAGGTGCAGAGCTTGTTATGGTGTTACACCAAGTGGTTTGGTCATTTCTAATGAAACACAATTTTGAAAAATGCTCTAAAGAAAGTTTAAATGTGATTGGATAAAGCAACAGTTCCGGTCATGTGACTTCTTTGTTCAATACTGTATAACTGTGTCAGTGTAAATTACTTGTACCTGATGATGACAAAACCTTGTCGAAACGTTGTACATTTGCTGTTATGTTAAACTTATATTAAAGTTTTTCTTCATTACCCATTCAAGCTGTCTCCGGCCATTAATAGTTGTGTTTGGTTATTCATTTTGTATTATGAATTCTACGTTACAACTTCGGAGGTTATTTGTTCTATTAACACATTTATACGGGTTTAAGATTGCAGCACTCCATGGGAAGATTTTCAGCTTTACTTCATCGGGAGATTGACTGGCCAATGAACTAACTTTCATTGGGTCTTTGTCTCGAGTTTGAGGGCTCGCACATTTATAATACAGTCCACCAACTTTGGAAAAATACATCTTTCAAATGTTATGTTTTTTAATTATTTTATTGTTAATATTATTATATGTAGTTATTTGGGTTCTAGATTTGTTAGATTGTATAATAGTCATAGTCAAGTTTAGGTTAGCAATTAGTCTTAGATGTATACCATTTGGTCAGGCTTATCATGGTCTTTGTTATTTTAGGATTATGTGTAATTCATCTTACTGGTATTGTCATGATATAAAAGACTGTTTAGTTAAGATATTATTAATTTATTATTGTTTGGTTTTTATTGTAATAAGAGTTAAAAGCAGATGATTGTAGGAAGTTTTGTTAATAATTCATTGATGTTGAGACTTTCGAACTTCACGTGCAATACATTGACGTCGAGAATATAGAAGGCAGGCAGATGATTAAGTGATAGACATATAAATAGCGTGAGACAGACAAAAGCATACAGACAGTAGCAGAATAAAGTTATGGGCCAGGAAAAGTTCAGAGTGAAATTAACTACCATACTAGTGATAGGCCTAAAGTTTAGTACGTTAAAATAAGACTAACAGTAGAAGAGGAGATAAGAATAATAATTTATTCTGTCAAAGCTTGGTTCTAAAGTAATTGTATCAGCCTGAGTGCACTTTGACAAAAGTAACAGTGGATATTTAGAAGAAAGAAGACCAAAAGATTACGGTAACTCGTGCCACAATTATAAGTGAATCACAC